CCGCGACCCGCGCGACCCGTGACCCGCATGGGCTCGACCAGGATGGGTCAGCGGGCGGGCCTGGGTTGTAGTCCAAAATTGTGGGCCGACCCGTAACCGGCCCGGAACCCGCAACGGGCGGGGTTTTTTCACGCGGGCCGTTACCGGGCTCACATGTTGGCAGGCCGACCCGGCTCGGACCACCCGGATTGACACCTCTACCATGGTGCACGGAGTGAACGAGAATTTCAAAAAAGTCAATCATGGTCTATACAAAGAACTGAATTTAGTTAAGAATCACGTTTAAAAGGCACAATTATATTTGAAGTGGTTGAGTGTAAATGTATTGCATGAATATTTTGGTTTTTTCAACTATATTATGTCAAAACATAAAGTAAAAATATTTTTTTAGTTTTACATATCATGAAATAAAAGGTATTGTATGTGATGATAATTTTAATTGTGAAGCAAATACATATGTAGATGTAGAGTAATATACTTAAGATGCAAATTAATTATTGAAATCCCTATGAGAAATGCAATTAATTTTTATGTATCTTTACTACAATTAATCTGAATTATACCACTTAACTTGAAAATTAGATGGAAATAACATTAAACAAACCTCAAATTTAACATGTAAAGAAAGCAAATAATATTATGTCTACAAGTTAGTGTAGTTGTACCTTTTTGAAAGTGCCGTGAGAGTTGATACAGAGGTGGGATTGTTTATTTTTTATTTTATTTTATTGTTGTTTTTGAATTCTAGAGAAGAAGATGAATGAAGGTCTTCTAAGCGTTTTGATGTCATCATGCTCCTGACACTGCACCACTCCTCCAATATTCGCTGTCATCTTTGACTGATCAGTAAATTATTTTCCTTTCAACTTCCTTCTCCAAGATCAACTAGACACCAAAAAATGAAAACATTCAAATGAACTTTCACTATTTTGCTTTGTAGTAGACATTTCTGTGATGGGATGCTTATGATCTTTTGAATTTATTTCAAATTTGATTACCTGTACATTGAATTATTTTAAAAAATATCTTCTTTTTCCCCAATCAATGTGTATGAATGTAGATTCTTGTGCAAGCCTATCCTGTGATAGGGAACCCGTAGTCAAATACTTTTTCTTTCTCAGATTTCACTTTCTCAAGCTCAATTTGTAATATGCTCCTCCTTTTACAAGGATTTCGACTCCAGCTGCAATCTGTCCTTTTCAATTTTCAACGCATCAACCTGAGTAGACACTGTATAAGAAGCTAAAATATAGCAAAATGATTACGACATCTAAATTGTAAGATGAGATACCCTTACATAGTATAGTTATTTGATTTGGAAAAAAATGCTTCACCTCATGCTTCTTGTAAATAAATAATATCTTACGACACTATAATTTTCGTTAGTATAATAAATTTTAACATACATGAGATGTTGAATCTGACATTTATAATTTTATGGTAGATTGAAACGTATTAATGTTATCATACCCTAAATATTTTCTACTTTCATTTAGTTGAACTTCTTCACATCAATTTGTTTTCTTACATGCAAATTGATTTATTCAGAGTTGGGTAATTGAGAATCAATTCGAATAAACATTGATTCAAGATGTAATTTATGAGAATCCAACACATTCAACACCCTAACATTACCTTCAAATTAATAGAGCCCGTGCAAATGACTAGTAACTCTAAAGTTTGTTGAGTTACCACTTAACGTTTCTCAAAGGATTTCTGAGTTGCTATTAAACTTGTCAAAATGTAATCTCATTTCTCACATCACTTTAAAAGTTAATAGACATGATTACATAGCAGGCAAAATTCCACAAGTGTTGGAGGAAGATAAGTTAATGGCAACTCAAAAAATTTCAAGTTCATGTAAAACTTTCATAACTAAATACAACTATGAAACATTTGGAAAAGTTGAGCGACAACTAAAATTGCATATTTACTTATGAGTAAAAAAAATTATGCTAAGCCAAACACGCACTGTGAAGGTGTCAACCATCACTGCTCTTCACCAGAAACCAGAAAATTCGGCTACTCAATTTTTCAGAGTTTTATGCCAAAGAATCGACTACAAGACCTTTTCACACATCAATCCCAACAGCAATGGAATGGAAGAAAATTTCATTGGATTACAGGTTCTGAAACTGAATTAACGGTTAACTTAATTATGTGCATGTCAGATTCACGACGACAAAGCGCAAAGGATCTGATTTTACACGGCTATGTGGGTATCAGTGCCAATATTTGGTTCTTGACAATACCCATGCACTTCTGTATTTCAGCATAAACAGGAAGATTCTGCGAACAGCACGGCTTCATACTTGTAACAGCAGAATCGAGTATCTGTGCTACATCAGATGGTGGGAATTCTCGTTCTGTACATTTCTGCAATTATGTAACCATGACTCGAATAAGCATGCGAAAATAATGGTGACTGCAACATGTTTGGTTTCTTTCTAGTATTCTTTTCTACGAGCATATTTGGATAACTTTTCCTTACTTTCAAGTAAAACCATTTATTTATTTAATTATTTTTACTGAAAATGACTCTTACATTAGTGTCGAAAGAGTAATGTTTTCCCAACTTTGATGAATAAAAGAATTAAATAATTTATAAGTAAACTTTTTAAGCTTAGCCAAACATGTTTTTTTGAGAAAAAAGAAAAGTGCCTTAGTATTTCCAAGAATTACCTGAATCATAAGCAATGTAGCTACACATTGAGTAATCAGTTCTGAAGGAATTTGTGCCTCGTTTTTATCGGATGCATTCAACTTACGATCAGGTGCCTGCAAAAATTACGACATTCACAAAGTCAATTGATCTTGTGAAACTTGTAGGAAAAGGTAGAAGATCTCACCCCTGGCTTGCAGTAATCATCCAATGGAAGCTTGTCATTCACATAATCTATAGCTTCCTCAATTTTCTCCATGCTATCCTCCCTACCCTTGAGTGATGATATTGCCTGAAACAAAATACCAAGAGGAAAATTTGGTAAGCATCACTCCAACAAATGATCACACCAGTTCTACAGTAAATATTATGAGTAATTTCGTATATTCATCATCGTCGTTATTTGTTATATCTAGCTGGGGTCATTAATCCAAGTTTCAATGTCTGTCAAGGAAAGGTTCCTTCTCCTATTCATGCCAATAATAAGAGTTGTACATGTATTTATAGTAAATCGATTCTACAAGCTCTATCAGAATACTGGAGCAGCAGATATAAATGACAACACTACCTGCATAGCTGCATCTACCATTGTTCGAGCTTTTGTTCTTGAGCTATCAATAATTTCGTTCACTTGTATTCTTAACTCATGCAGTTGAGAGCTCATTATGCCACCAAGATCACTGAAATTGTTGACTGGCCTTGGCCATACAAGTGAACTATTCCCTTGATAAGTGTTCCGCTGTCTCAAGCAATACAAAGCAGACGATACCTGCAAAACAAAATGACGCTCTATAGCACCTATTTAACTGCAAACCCTTCTGCAGATATACAGAACTGGCAAAAGCAATTTTCAACTCTAATTGACGGAGATCTATACCTGTTCATTGGCTTCATTTAATTGAACAAGTACAGCAGCATATTGCTTTTTGAACGGCTCTGATTCCTTCAAAGAGCCATCACCATCCTTCTGATTTTCCAACACATCATCATTCATGCGTCTCAACTCTAGAACAACAGCTTCCTACATGTTACAAAATGAATGTTGAGCTCTCTTCTAGTTTGTTAACTTGATATAAAGCACAATAATAATAGTTTTGACAAACAGCTCCAATGTGACCACATATATCATACATATTGAAACACTGTTCAAATACCCTATAGCACAAACTTAGCCTCAGTTTCCAATATTATAAATCATTTATAAATGGTAGACTTCATTTTCAACCACACATTCCAATGGACCCGCAAGTATCATCTCATTTCTGTCTGTTTAAAAATTAAATGAATTATTTCCGAATGGAGGTTTTGTAGCAAAACATGCAAGAAACAATGTCAATTAAGTAAAAACACATATGCAGTAGATCAGCAGTTTGGATGCTATAACCTTTTTATCAAGAGCACGAGTCAGCTGAGCAAGAGCTTGAACATCAGCTTCTTTTGCCTGAATGTGAGCTGGTGAACAAGGCTGAGAATACGCGGTCTGTTGAATGGTAGTAGTTTCTATAGGTCCAGTCCTAGTTTGCACATTGGCAATTGTGTAAGCCACCTGGCAAACAAAACTCTTTGTTTAGATACTCCTGGAGATTATAAAACTATAAATTTATTATTCATCAGAAGAAGTGAACATAAACTTTTGGTACAGAAGATGAGCAACTAGTATTAAATAAAAAATCCTAAATGAAACAACTGAGATAAAATTTCACAGGTCCACAATAGTTGGAATATAGGCTATGTTTGGTACCAATTCTCATTTTCAACAGTAAATCAATTCTCATTTTCAACCACGTATTCTTCAATAAAATAATATTTTCCATCACATCAATAACTTTTCCTTCTTTTTCAACCACACATTCTCCATAAATCTACTATTCAATAATACATTCTTTCAAAAGAATGTATCCCAAACACACTCTAGACTTTAGATGTAGTATTCCAAGCACAATAACTATGCCCACACCCTTGAACCGATATATTAACGCCACCGTTCATTAGCTTGTAATCTTGAGTCGTCGCCAANAGACAATGGAATCAGGTACTAAAAAGAGGAAATTAGAATCAGGTTTAAATGAACTTTAATCCAAATAATTGAGAATGAAAAACTAGGGAGACAAAACTCATGCCTTTGTCTGCTTCAATAAACTACTGGCAGAATGAGCGGGAGAAGAATGGGAAAGACCATCAACGTTATCCAGATTGTCACCCGAGGAAAATTTCCAGTATTCTTTTGCTTGTCCATTCATTTTCAACTCATTGAAATTCTCAAAAAACTTATCAACAATAAGTGCATGTCTCCAGAGCAAAGCAGGCATATTCTCAAAAGGATTTGAGGGCATGCAGTCAATGTCCTGCGAAAGGTAAATAATTACATAAAGCCATCCTAGCAGTGGAATTGAGCAAATAACAAATAAATATATGTAGAACGAAGAATTCGGTAACATGAAATTGTAACAAATCAAACACAGAAGCATGAACATGAATGAAACCAGAAGTTTGTTGCTTCACATTCTTTCTAAAAAAAGGTCTTTTAAAAAGAGTTCGAAGTTGGAATAAAGCAATTTACAAATGAAAAATCGAATAAAAATGGAGCCCTGTTCAATAGTTAAACTAAAAATTCCATAAGAGAATGATATGCAATAGGACCAGAATAAGATACAAGCATCAGAGTGGAATACCAGATTCACGTTTTAATGTGGTACAAAGTTTGAGAAAAGTGAACACAGCTTGTAGAAATAGTACATCTAAAATGACATTTCCACAGAAGTGGAGAAAGTAGTAAAGATTGATTTGACTTCTCATATGCCTAGTGCATACTCATCACAAGTGAATGAACCTGAAATTCACATCTAACCTATGGCCAAATTGAGGTTTCACAGCAAACTTCACCTAAACCAAATGATGAACAACTGGATTATAGCTCCCCTTGAGAATTCATCACGCTGATTACTTTTAAATCACATGGACAAAGAAATTACTCGTAAGAAACATCTCAATTCTGAGTGTTAGTACTAAAGTCTTCAATAGTTTTTCGATCATTATGATCAGAGTTCATACAAATGTTGTGGTAATATAATATATCTACGTGACACAGTAGCCAAAAACCATATACCATAGATATACAATTAGAATAATGATGCAAGTTGGGAATAAATTACCGTGACAAATTCAACCCCAAGTTCAGGACGGTCAAACTGAATCCGACACCTAGAATGATCAACTGTTAGCACACTGCCATCATGGATCTCCCTTGTTTTTGGATGAATGGCTATGACTCGCTGTCCAACTGATAAGGGTCGTGCAAGATCTGTTGGTAGTCCTTCCCCGATACCTTCACGGAGCTCAGTGTAATGTTTTCTTACGGAATCTCGATACTGATTAAGCTTCTCCTTTTCTTCTTTCAGGAACTGCTCAGAAAATCGTCGTGGCTTGCCAAGAGAGCTGCATGAACATGAGAGTGAAGATGTGAAGCATTGTCTAACATACTTCTACATCTTCAGCGTAAAAATGATTAGCTAGAAACATATACCTTCTTATGACACCCCATTCCACACGAGTCAATCTTGGAACATGACCTAATCCAACATGATACAAATACTCAACAAACTCCCGTTTTGCAAACCAAGGATAATCAATTGCACTATAAAACCACTCGTATGCACACCATCTCTGAACATGAGGATTCAATAGGCAATTAGACAGTTTTTTCTGCAAAAAGAAAAAAGAAAAAGTTGCAAAACGGAAGTTAATACATGAATAACCAAACATCAAATTTTGAATAGAGCGGAGATTATTAAACCTTATGATCAAATGATCTGTCCTGCAGTGAGGCGAAAGGCGCGTTACTTTGGTCAATTGGAATTTTATTTGGTTTTTTGAGGTCCATCTTACGTCTACTCTTGACTTTAGTAGGTAAGTTAACCTGGTTAACCACAGGGACCTGCACAGCTGATTGTGCTGAGTCACTTCCTTCTCTTCGTAGATCAGCATTTGAAGAATTTTCAGAAACTTTCATCAGTTTTGGCGAACCAGTTTGTGAAGCTTTCTTACTCTTGCTCATCAACTTCTTCCCCGCATCTCCAGCCTAAAAGAAGTAGGCATCATTTGAATTCAGTGAGCTCTTGACTAGATAAGACACTGGCTTGGGTAATCAATGCACTATTTGAGATACGGAATGTATTTCTAAGTCTGTGATAACTTTTTTATCTCAATAACAAAAAGGTCAAAACAACAATTCAACAATTTTGTAAAAGTTGTGAATGTGATCCATGCTATTCAAAATGAGAGCAGAAGCTCCATTATTCTCTGAAAAAAGGTTATTGTGCAAGACAAAAGAAATGGATGAGGAATATAAAGTTACCTCAATCCCTAGGGATTCACCAGGATGAGCTTCAATAATTTGAATCTGCAATAACATTTTTTGTACATTTCATGCCAAAAATTAGATTTGATAAAGATGATGAGCAAAGCTGAGAGAAGTTTTATGTCCAATCTCACCTTTGACGCTAACCTCTTTTGCTTTCTCCTTGATGTTTTGGAGATATATTGATGAGAATCCAGAATTTCTTCAGAGACAGCACTAACATCGGAAACTGAACCTTTTCCAGGTTTTGATGTTTTACCAGAAGCCACTTCAGAATTTATCATTGATAGGTAACCTTTCATCCTAACCCCTGCGGATCTACGTCTGTCCCTTTTCTGGTTTACTGGCTGAGCTTCTAATGACCCAGATTCATCTAAATGATCTTCATCTTTTAACCGAACCCTTGACTCTGACACATCGGAACGAAATTGAATTAAGTTATGACTGAATAAAGAATAAATTCATACATGATGAATGAAGACTGGAAAAACCAAATAATGATTCCACGGATGACTGAAATGGTAAATCCATGAACTGCAATAGCTTGATCTAACGGAAACATTCAGCAAAACTTTAAAAAATAGAGTAGAAATCAAAAAGTGAGCTGAAATCCTAAACCCTAAACAAACTCCTCTAAAATAGAACTGATAAAACTGCAAACAATACAATTTTCACCTCTCACCATATTTAACTGCTTACTGAAGAAACAACCTATAAATCATTATTAAAAACAATTGCGGAGACAGTATCATCATCACATTTACCAAAAGTTACACAAATTCCGTGTTGTAAGAAATACACGGATAATACATTTTCTTATACGAAAATGGTGTATAAAAGTAAGAACCTGATATGAAATTTATCAAGCAGAGAATTTAAATGCCAACATTATAAACTAAATCAAGTTGCATTATAAGCTACTAGCTGGATTAAATAATTTATATATTCAATCTGGCCCTTCGAACAATATTTAAAATAAAAAACGTGAACATTATTATTTACCTTCTTCATTTTCTGTTGGCATCATCAAAGACAAATCAGCCAAAGTTTGCAGGGCATCAAAGGCATCTTCATCTACAAAGATCAACATATACCAACAGCATGATGCTTGAAGTTAGTGGCAACTGGTATAGTATATAAAAAGTTCTTTCCATAAACAAACTTATGTCACAAGAAAAAGATATAAAGTGTCTAACAACAAATAAAGTTTATTCCACAATGCAGCAACCTCAATAATGATGGAGCGGTCCACATTATTTAAAAGCAAAAAAGACCCATATCCTAAGAGATAGTGTATTGAATCTCTTGTGCAACATGATCTCAGTTAACAAAAGAATGTGGTGCAGTAGTTTCCAATCTCCGCCACCACCCCCACATTCAACAATGAACAAAGTTTCTTATCACTATTCAAATTGTATAGGAACTCTTATAATGTTTACTTCTGTTTCATTATTAGGCTGAAATCCCTACAATATAAAAAGAGAGAAGTTGCTTGCTACTGTTCATAAGGCGTCACCATTTGCGTCATGATGATGTCATTTTTTAACCAATTTAGGGGGCCAAAACGACGCCCTTTTTCCTTTGATCTTTAAAAAAAAAAACACGTCAAAACGACGCCGTTTTAACGTCGGTGATATCCGTATACAATGGCCCTCTTTTTGCCAATTTTTTTGCCTCAAAATTTTCAACTTTTCGTGCAATTATCAGATAGAAGTGACTGATTCTCTGAAAGTGGTACTTGCCCATGTGCATATCAATGTGGTGATAAATTATATAAATTAACTTTCCAAAAAAGTCCATGTGCATTTCAATGGAGAAAAAAGTGGTTGAAGGTGGAATTGTAAATTGTCCAATAAAGTGGAGGGCATAAAGGTCCTATTTTGCAACGATTCATTCTTGACTGACTGCCACATTTCTGACAAAGATTAAAATATTGTGAATTAGTGTAGAAAAATGGGAAAGTGACAGAAAAATGATTTCTACACGCTTTCTCCTTCGTTTCCACTTCTACACACGCTTCCTCATTTTTCCTTCGATTTCCACTCTGTCTCTTGCTCCTTCTCTCTGCCTTTTCGTTCGAAACCCAGATCCCCTTCTTAACATTGCAAACCCAGGTATATTTTGGTATTGTTTTGTTTTTTTTTCTGGTATATTTTTTTTCATTTAATCTTATTGAAAAAATCTTATGGTAAAGACTAAGTTCTTAATGTTCTTCTGTTGTAATAATCATTGGGGACGTGAATCATCGTGTTTATTATACAATGTTTAAAGTTTATATGAGATGCAAATGCAATTAAATCAATTAGGGTTCTCGCCTTCTATTAACCTTCTTTTTTGCATCCAGGCCAAGGGTGAGTGATTTTTTCTATTATTGGATCTGGCAAGTTCCTAGCCATTGTTAACTATGGAGTCTTAACCGTACGTGTATTTGATCATTTATTGAATTCAGTTTTCCTGATAATGGCTCTAGATGCTTCTACTGTTTCTTTTATTTCTTTAGTTTCAAGTTTTGGTTGCCATTGATTTCAATAATCATACTTAGTTGTTCCCAGATCTACGGTTCGTGCATTAGCAATTTGTATTGTTGTATTAGATGCTAAATTGTAATCTAGGTAGAAAGGATAATCGGGTTTGACTTCCTGGTTCTTATATCTGTTGCTTGAGCTACCCTTTTATTTTGGTGATATGAAATATGTATCTTATGGATTTGTGAATTTGTGCCGAGATTTATCTTATGGTGACCTTACTCTTCAACAGCAGGTGATTTCGTTTTTCCCAATGTTCATCAATCATCAATTTGTGAACTTATCTTGAATCCCAACATTGTGTTTTGTTAGTAGTTTAAATCAGGTGTCTGGAATAGGTAAACATGAAGATAGCGTTATCATAGTTGCTTATGGTTTCGATTTTTTCCTGGAGTTGAGAAGATTAGAAATATCAAGCAATCTTGGGAATTCGAGCTGTGGTAAGTTCTTTGAATACATTGTTTTTATTTGACGCTCTTCCATTTCTTATTGTCAATTACAATTATATTAATAACAATTCTTTTAAATTGAATAGAATGTTTTGTTACAAATTTTTGTGCATTTTCCTCCCAACAACTTATATTTCAGAATTGTAATCAATAAATTTATTCCCTCTCTCCTGAACTATATATGTTACACAATAGGTCAAAATTCATACCTTCTTTTTGGTTCATAAGATTTTTCCTTTAAATGTACTCTTCATTCATCTGCTTGCAGGGTGAAGTTGATTACCCATTTTACCTAAAAACTGGCAGGTCAGTACTCTGTGTAACAATTGGAACACTTATCCTTGAAAAGAAAAATAGTGAAAATATCTGATAGCTTTGAAGTGTCTTTTTTAATTAATCAGCTGCAAGTATGGTACCACATGCCGTTGCAATCATCCTGATACAAATGGTAATTGGGTGTTCACCATGTCTTGACATTATTCAGTTGAATTAATGTTTCAAATGTTGAACCCTTAAAGGTTTTTTTTTTTTTTCGAGTAATCAACCCTCTTGCTGCTGCTATTGCACCTGTTATAGCGTCTCCTCCTGCACATTGTAGCTTTGGAGCTATTTCTCCAGCGACCTCTCTCCTTCCAACTTTTAATCCTAGGCTGACTCAGACATAGGTAAAGTGGGAATTGTTTATGCTTTCTTCTGGTTCACAGTATCCTTATGATGTATGAAATTGATTAATTGAGATTGTTGAGCTTCTGATATTTTGCATAATGCAGTTTGTCGTAGATTTTTTTAATTGCTTTGCAATGGTTGTTTCTTATTTTTTTCATTGATAAGCTCATAAATATTTTAAGATTTTTATGATTTGATCGGAACTTATTGTGTCCCTATTAAGCTAATTTTATGATATGAACTGAACCATCTTATACAGTTTTCTGCTGTTATTTTACTTTAAAATAATTATTGCAGAATATTGATAATATATATGGTACCAAAATTATTCAGACCCATTTGATTTGCAAGGTCATGTTCCTTGTGTCTCTGATATTGCCTCTTCTAGCTTTTGAGTGTTTATGTGATTTTGTGCTTGATAGAATGTGAAATTTTAATATTTTGAAGTTCTACTCTTGAATGTTTATTTGTTTGCCTGCTGCAGCTATGATTGGCCCCAACTATTTACCCGACCTGGACAGCTGGAAAGTGATGTGCGTGTCCACTTCATTTTCATTTAGTTAATTGATATCTGCTTTAGGAGTAACATTATTGACACTAGACAACTAAATCTTACATAATCTACGATAAAATCTACCCAAATTATAACAGTAATCGTGCAATGCACGATCCTCCACTAGTACTTATATAAGCAAATACAAAATGACAAGCCAGCATATTAATTCCCATTTCAACCACATGATCTATTATTGGCAAATACAAAATGACGAATACATCTAAGGAATTGTAGGTCGACATATTTAAAAAGTGACAAATCTCTCATGCACCCACCTACACAATCATACAAGAACATGATTCAAAGAACAAAAATGGATTTGAAACATGAAACAGCAAGAATTCATAAAGAATTGGTGTACCTCTCCCGAAAAGAACCTTTTTGCTTTTCTTTCTCTGACCCATGGAGGACCTTGAAATTTTGGGTTCTGTGACCTCAACATCACCTCTAATTGTACCAATCCTTTGACCTTCCTCCATCCTACTACATTCTTCCTTGACGTCATTCAAATGATTCTCACTATTGTAATCTACTTCAACCTTTGCAGATTCAAATTTTCTCCGTTTCTGTCTTGCTGTGCGAGGACTTTCAGATTCAGTCCTATGAGATTCAAACCTAGTCAACTCTCCAGTGTCAGCTTCCACACTTCCTTCTAAATCTTCTTCATCCATAGCCAAGAGCTTCGCATTGGCCATTTCTGGTACAGAATCCTATAACCAACAACAGGTCCATAAATTGTACAAAGAAGTGTGTTCTATTTTACAAGGTCAAAACCATTACCTTTCTTTGAGCATTCCTAAAAGGTGAAGACATAGCACTCTCAGCTCTTCTATTTGGAGTTCGAGAAACCTGGGGAGAACCACCTCTTTGTGAAGCCTCAGCCAAAGCTATGGCTATTTCATGAGCAACTTCTTCAACATTGGCATTAGCCTTTAACTTTAAACCTTGCCTGGTTGGAGAAAAATACGTTTCCGAATTGATATTTTCATATGAAAATGAAACGGGGAACCTTGGTGTCCTTTTTCCAACAGGACGGGGTCGGCTTCCTGAAACAAACTCCAGAGGAAAAATCTCAGTTATATCTGAGTGTGACTCTTATTATGGCAGATAAAAAAGAAAAAATATCTATGAACTCTCTCAATTTGAGAGGTCAGTCGTTGTGTTAATGTCATTTGACACCAAAATGTGCATGAAACCAACAATGACAGTTGACAATGTGAGTTATGCTATGGCCTAGCTGGGACTATTTTATAAAATAAAAACAAAGAGAAAGGGTTATCCTTATAGCATATAGGGATTCTCTTTATGTAAAGGTTGGTTATTCAGAAAAATATTTGAATGTCCACAAGAGGGAATGCACCTAAATGTTTAAAGACTTGAATTTTCGTCGTGCCTGCATTGGCATATAGGAAGTTTAAATATAAATCATTAAACAAATAGGGTAGAGAAAGAAGAAGCAAATTAAGGGTCAATTGAAAACAGAAGCTTCTTGTGTGCTATCACCAGTTTGTCAATGAATGTGCGGTGGTACAGATGCATGTTTGTCTTTGCACCTGAATGGGGTTGGACGCCAGAGAGGGAGCAACAGACGAAGAGAGCACATTACTGCATACATGCTATAGCTTGAATTATGGTTTACATAACATACCCCCAGAGCGTTTCTTCTTTAACACGGACAGACAACCATTATTTGGTGAAACAGTCTGGGAATGTGAAAGAAATTGTACGTCCAATGCTTTAGAGGTAGTGGGTTGGAGTTTTCCCCGAGCACGCTTTTGAGGATTCCGAGATGATCCTGCTCCATCATTGCTTTCTTGTTCACTATCACTTCCTCCCTGTCAAGCCAAGTTCCACATGACCAAGTACTCACAAGCCAGTTAAAATGCTATCAAAACTCGAAAAGACTAACAGCATTACCTTGTCAAAACTAAGAAAGCACTAACTGGCATTTAATATTATCAAATACTCTCAATAATTATTAACTGTAAGCAGTCTTACAGAACAAATTGCACAAGAAACTCAAAGAACCCTGTTCATGATACAATATATTGTTAATTTCAACAAATTCCACTCTGGTTTGGAACTAGCATTTTTCAAATATCACTTCCATTTGATGGGGAGAGAGAAGAGGAAAAAGGGAATATAAAATATCATTTAGGGTTCTGGGGACAAGAATGAAGCATTTAAATAATGTGTAACAAAAAACCATTTGCACCAAATTATTACAATTATTCATATTGCGAGATCAATTTACAACACACTTAGAGTTTTCCATTCATTTTTTATTTCTTTTTGTATATTTGTCTTCATTAATAGAGGAGCACTTGTCATCAAATCCTGTACATTCTTTTGTTCATCACCAAAATTCTGTTTTTATCAAAATTAACGCTTTCAGCTCTTCTTAATATGAATTTTGCAGCAAAAATGTACGGTCTGCTATTAGAATTAGAATAGTCTCACCAAATTGCTGTAATGATCAGTCATCATAGCAATCAACCCAACTACAGAAGCAGTCCCCTCTGGAAGAGATAAGTATGCCTGAAATTACAGAAGTGAATATAAATTACTGGATTAATAATCTAAAGAAACTTTGAATTACAAAAATTTGGCAATCTTCAACCTTAGTGTTATGGTTTAACATAGCCACAATACCATTTAAGAAGTTCTACAACAATGTATAGGGTGTGATAAGAATGAAACTAAGCATTGTGGCCCTTGTCGTTTTGTTACTTACGAAATTAACATTCCCATCTAACAGTTCAGTTTTAATAATTTTAGGGTTATTAACAGTCACGCCAAAACATGTTATGCACTGTAGCATTTTGGTGCTCAACATATTTGGAGCAGAGAACGCATATCTAGTTCCCTCATGGCTCCATGTATTTTCTTTCTACAGAAAAGTGAATATGTTTATTTTTATTCTACATAATGACATTGTTCAACTCATGTTTCATTCATTTCAGTATTCAATATTATATCACACTTCAAATATTAAGCCAATGTGGAGAGTCATTTCTATTATTGCAGTTATTGACATATTGTTAAGAGAATCTAGTCTAGGATAAAAAAAGAATTGTAATTCAGGCTTAAAGTCTTAAGCTTCATTTTGGGCTACTTATATATAATGAAAAGTGTCAAAGTATCATAAAGTAAAATCGGTTTCTGATAGCATCAATCTTTCCATGGATCAAAAGGGACTGTGTTTTGTAGAACTGAACTGGTCCTCAGGGGAAAAGAAAAAAGTTGACAGGAAAAGGGTGATTTTCATTACTAAAATAGTAAGATTCAAAATGACGTGAGGTAAAAAGAAGATCTGTTGCGAGAAGATGAATGTGTACTAGTCATTTCTGTTGAAGACAAATAAAAAAACCACATTTACCCTGTTCATTGTGTAAAGAGCCTCCACCATTTCGACAGATCTGTTTCGTACCGCACCAGCCACCTGTAAACATGCAAAAACAACAAGAAGAAGATTTTACCAATTGACAAAATAGTCAAAAAAGAGTATACTTATCACTCATTAATCCACAACAAGAAGAATACTGCCAACTATACCAATGATATACTTAAAATCTAGATGGCAAAGGTTGTATTATTTGCAAAAGCCCAGATCATTTATTTAAGAATGATAAGTGTACGCGATAAATTAATATAGCTCATATAGAGGAGTCCAAACTACTTGGTATTTTATATACACTTTAACTAACCTTTTTCCAATCTTTACCATGTTTACGGTAAGCTTCATAGAAACGACTTAGCTCTTCCTTGCTCCATTGGGGTCCAAGCATGTCAGACAACTTCCTCTTCTGCAAAAAAATATAGGAAATGGTTATTCTAATGATGCTTCCGTTTTCTATAAGTTGTGCACTAGTAGAAATGATTAAGAAAAACAACATAATTGAAATCAAGTAACGACACCACTACAAATGGCATTTAAACGTAAACATTACATCAAAGGAAGAAAGCTTGCATGTGAAAGCTATTTTAATAGAAAAGATGAATCGAGTTTGACATCCTGAAACTTGCAATAAGAATCGAGCTGATGTCCTTGAAACAAAAACTCCCTCGTCTTTTTAAAGCAATTTTCCAAATAAGACTCAAGGCCATGTCAATAGTCATTGTTACACTGAGCATAGCACAAACCCCAGCTGTCGCTGACCATAGCACAAAGATATTAAAACAGAAAGTGTGCTACTCAGGAACAAGAAGTCCATGCATCTCTAAAAAAATAGCAAATCAACAAATTTGATACAACAATAAATTAGTATACTTCGTTAGTATTTGATCTACACTTTATGGACATTTTGATAATAATGCAAAACTTCAGTGTAGAAGATCATATCTCATATAAAAGCAAGAAAGATAATTATGAAAGCTTCAAGAAGACAAACAAGAGTTGAAATACATTTTGCTTGTGCCAGAATTGAGTTTTGACCAGACCAAAAATTTCATTAATGTAACAGAGAACAGAATAAATAACCATAAAAGCTCACCCTACTGTTGCTTCTTTTAGCACTGTCTCCATCTTTACGAGGAGATACTTCATTGATATAAGAATATTTCTTATTCACGCTTCCAGACTTTCTTGTTGGCCCCATGACAGCTACATTAACAAGCAACAAAAAGTTAGAAAAAAAAAAATTAACAAGCATAGCAATCACAGACTATAGGACAGTTGAGAATTGAGATATTAAACCACATTTACTAATAATCACGAACTAGGCACCTTTATTCTCTTCAAAAATTATTTTGAGCGCACACAGTATAAAAATCCAAAATTGCAAGTAAAGAAGGCGCCAAATAAATTTGCACTCTCGACGAGTAATTTCTTACCACCACAGCAGAAAAGCAAATAGAAATTTAAATTATTTAATAACCCATTTCAATAGATCAGATTAACTTTAAAACGAATTAAGCAATCCGGCTTGAGCAAACAAAAAATATCCACCAAATTTTATTATTATTTTTAAAATCCATTTTTCAATTGTACAAAACAAAAACTTGCTGAGAAATATAACAGATTAATATATTAGTCAACATATCGTATTCCAAATAAATTATACTGAAATCGAAAACTTCAGTACACCAAAACTCCAATTTTTCATTCAATATAGAGATCCGCGCATTTAAATATGTAGTACATAAAGCTTTCAAACTCGCCAACTTCAAAACTAATCAACCTCCACTGCCGCTTTTCAGCAATTCACACATAAATACCAAATAAAAGTTCAAATTAGCAATAAATAAATCAAAAAATTAAAAATTAAAACAGAAAATCACTGAATTCACAGCCAAAAATAAAACAAAAAATGAAAAAATTAAATAAATAACTGAACCAAAATCTACTTCAAAAAATTTACCAGCAGAGAAACAAAATTTCCAGTTGATAGCCTGAAGAGCTGAAACTCAAATTAAGCAACAAAAAAGAATAATTAAACAAAAGATCAGCAAAAGTCCGGAACTTTTACCTATTCAATAAAATCAATTTAAAGCATTGGAAAAACTGAATCGAGAAGAGATTTGAAGCGTGTGTACGATGGGAGATACACTTGAGATTACGAGTGCAGAGGATTTTGGATTTTAGAGAGAGAAGAAGATTAATATATTTTATTTTTTGGGGCTAATAACCGCGAAAATCTATTTGTATCGTTTTGAGATGAGAAGTGCATTTTGATTGTATTCAAAGGATTATTCAATTGCATGCAAGTCCCTGAGGTTTAATATATGTTCATTACAGTTCTTAGGGTATTAATTTCACTACCTTGAGTCCCTCAGTTTTTTTAATTTGCTCATTTGCTGATTATTCGTCCAAACCCAAAAATATGTGGGTAAAACTCTCAGGAAGTATTTTTCGTGCCCAAGTTTAGGCACATCTTTTAGAACATTGACACATATTAGTTCTAATATTTTATTTTTTAAAGTCTTTGTGCATATTTGAAAACTATATAGCACTTCTGCTATTCTCTCGTATCAAAGACTTTAAGGTTTTTTTTGGAGTTGAGAGTAATGTCCTTTATGATCTTAGGTCTTGTTAGAAATAGTTATATATCATATAATACAATACAAGTGACATTATATTTGAAATGATGTCTTGCTATTTGCAAACTGTAATGAGGTGTTAAAATTTTGGTGAACAACAATCAACTGAAGATAAACCGTTCTCAACTCATTTTTCCTCCTGTTTGGGCCAAATGTGTGGTCTGAACCCCTATTAAATTTAAAAATATATAGTCGAGTATTAATATCTTCCTTTACCTTAAAAGAGGGGATCCCAAATTTACTGTTCATTTGAATCCTC